AAATAATTTATTTACATTAATATAATTTATTTATATATATTTAACCAAAAAATCTATTTTTATTATAATAATTTTATTAATGCACATAATAAAAACCTGTTTCAATTGTGTTTTTAAATATAATAGTATGACAATTCACATTTTGATGATGTTTTAATCATTACCATATTTTTAAAGAAAAAATTGTAAAATAGAGCCTTAATAACAAAATAAAGAATTCTTTTATCTAGTGATAAGATATATACAAAGTTTACTGTAAATTTTTATCTAATGTTAATAAACACAGACATACAGATGTAAAATACTTTCTAACAAGATTATATTAAGGCACATTTTTTTCAGAGGAACGAAATGAGATAAAATGAGACATGTAAATTCCTATTTTAATTTCTGAATAAAATTGAGGAACTTATTTTCGAGGCATCAACAGATTTTTACCAATGTCAATATAAATTTTGTTAAAAACAGGCCTCCAATCAAACTTCGCAATTGGATTATCAGATTCTATATACAATCCAACAAAGTTTATTCCGGTAACTGATGCGCATACATAATTTTTATGCAGCAATAGGGCAAGAGTTCGCGGCTCGCGATAAACAGATACATTATATTACAAAACAATATTCTATATCCCCGTTACACGGTGACACAACACCGAGCAAGAATCGGCGAGATTAATGATCGAACCACGGATCGGTTCCGCTGTCGCGAACTTACTTGTAGTTCTTGAATATCTCGTTCGTAACCTCGCAATGGTACACCTCGTCGTCGTCCCTAAAGTCAGAGGAGACGTAGAGCCGCTGAAACGGCTGTTTGCGTAGCAGCGGCATCGCGACGATTTCCTTTCACCCGCGATGACTTTTTCCTACCGCGAGGACCTCGATCAACACAGACGAACGAAATCCGATCGTCGAACAAGATACAAACGACACACGGCGAACGAGACGCGCGCCAAGTAGCACGCGCGGTATATATTCGGTAGAAAAGTACGCTCGCTTGTGTACGGGCAACGCGCGCGCGCGCGCACACACACAACCTGGGGGGAAATTCGCCGACGTCAAGCCGCGAGTCTCGGCGACGCTGTCAATCGGCGATTTTACGTCATTTCGCGCAACTTTGCCAAGATGATCGCGAGAAAGCGCGTGATATCACAAATCGTCGTGCACACGGACCATATAACGCGTATACCTGTATACCTTCACACCTGCCACCTCCCCCCGCCGTATAATATACGCATAAATGTATGTACATACGTATAATGTAGTACACGGCCGGAAATCATGGCGATACTCGATATACCACGATGAATCGTTGCCAACTTGACGTTTTGCGCGCGAATTCCAATTGCTCGATTGGACAACAGGACAAGACAAAGATACGCGCGATTTTGTCTTTTTTTACGATTCGAATTGGTTCGAGCTGAGCCAATCCGATTATTAATTGATGTTGCATGGGCTGCGTTTCAACATTAGGGTTCGTTCGCGTTGCGTTGAAATTCCCAAAAATTTTTGCACTGAAAACGAGATAAATATATATTCGGATGTTGAAGAGAATGAAAGTGAAGATGCTGAGTGCAAAAAGTTCAAGCAACACGAACAGACATAGGGTCTGTTCTTTATTGCTGAACTTGCTGCACTAGTTCAGAGTTTATCTTTTTTTCTCCCCAACAGGACAAGACAAAGATACGCGCGATTTTGTCTTTTTTTACGATTCGAATTGGTTCGAGCTGAGCCAATCCGATTATTAATTGATGTTGCATGGGCTGCGTTCCAACATTAGGATTCGTTCGCGTTGCGTTGAAATTCCCAAAAATTTTTGCACTGAAAACGAGATAAATATATATTCGGATGTTGAAGAGAATGAAAGTGAAGATGCTGAGTGCAAAAAGTTCAAGCAACACGAACAGACATAGGGTCTGTTCTTTATAGCTGAACTTGCTGCACTAGTTCAGAGTTTATCTTTTTCTCTCCCCATTGGAAGGAGAAAGATAAACTCTGAACTAGTGCAGCCAGTTCAGCTATAAAGAACAGACCTATATTCACTGCCAGTAGTGAAAATCTATAGTGTACGTGACGTAAACTATTGATTTTCAGTACTGGCAGTGAATATCGGAACGCAGCTTTGCTTAGCGTTGATATTTTGGTATCACTGGTTCCCTGTTCTCTGTTCTCTATTCTCTCTGTTCTCTGTTCCTTGTTCCTTATTCCTTTTATTGTGCACAGCCCCATAGGTGAAGACTATCGAGTTTGGTCACAAGCGTTTTCAAGAATAAAAATTTTTAGAATTATTAAAAAATTTTAAAATACAGAGATATAAAATTATCGCGAAATGGTAAGTGACAAGTTCCATTATATGATAATTTGATAATAGTTTCGAATTGTAATTTTTAAGTTTCTCTTTGCACATGTTGCGTTGATAGAACAACGTGTCGAAGCATGTGGCAACTCGTTCAATTTTATACGGATATCATGTAAATTTCACGTACATTTGCAGTCTTTAGATCCAAAATTGAGATACATGTTTATCAGATTATAATTTCGGCTATATTTTGAGATATAATTATTTACGAATCTTGATTCTAACCTTTAATTGAAATGGATACGTTTCATAGGGGTTTCATTATGCGCGTGTGTGTAATATTTATCATTTATTTTATTAACTTATTGATCAACTCTAAAAAATAATAAGATAATGTAAAGATAATATAAAGATAATAAAATAATAATAAAAATAAGTAAAAACGATTAAATAATAACATAATTAAAATCGCAGTAAATATTAAATTATAGTTTACAAGATGTTGAAATTGAAACAGATTCTCTAGAGTGTTCATATTAGCATATAAAAACAGAAAAAAATTAATATTTTATAAAATACTATAATAGGTGTCAATTATTTGCTTTACAGTCGAACCTCTTCATTCTGTTTGAACACGCTACTGGATATGTCCTATTTCGTGTTAAAGAATTCGAAGAGATTGGAATGTTGTTGCCTCAAGTGGAACAATCAGTAACAGATCTATCACGTTTCCGTAGTATCATAAGCTTTGTTGGATTTGCACCTTTCAAGTCAGGACTGGAGGCTCTCGAAAACATCAACAATATTTCTGAAGGGATTGTCTCAGAGTACCTGAAAGTCTTTTTAGATTCTTCTTCCAATGAGTTTACCAAGGATTCTATCCTTGGTGTTGCAGATCCTAAACTTGGTGCCAGTATCTCTGAAACTTTAAATATAAAATGTGATCACCTTAATGCTGTTCCTGAGATCCTTAGAGGAATAAGATATCATTTTGATAATCTGGTGAAAGGCTTCACTTCCGACGATTCAATAAATGCGCAAAAAGGTCTTGGACATAGTTATTCAAGAGCTAAAGTTAAATTCAATGTGAATCGAGTAGATAACATGATCATACAGAGCATAACTTTGCTAGATCAATTAGACAAAGATATTAACACTTTCAGCATGCGTATACGGTATGTATCTAGTATTTTTAATTTTGAATATATTGGAAATAAGTAAACTCGAAAGTAGTCTATGATAACTGTGATCTTTGTTTTGATTCTAGTGAATGGTATAGTTATCACTTCCCAGAACTTGCAAAGATAGTTCCAGAGAATTATATCTATGCAAAGGTAGCACGAGTGGTACAAAATAGGAAAGAATTAACGGATGATAAGGTGTCTGCATTAGAAGAAATTGTTATGGACAGCGCAAAAGCAAAGGCTATTGTCAATGCAGCTAAATCATCCATGGGAATGGATATAAATGAGACCGATTTAAGGAATGTTCAACAGTTTGCTAAACGTGTTGTCGCATTAGTAAACTATAGAAAGAAAATGTCTGAATATTTAACATCAAAAATGGCAGGAGTGGCACCAAATCTAGCTACTTTAATTGGAGATCAAGTCGGCGCTAGATTAATAGCACACGCCGGTTCACTTACTAATTTAGCAAAGGCTCCGGCCTCTACTGTCCAGATATTAGGAGCAGAAAAAGCTCTATTCAGAGCATTAAAAAGCCGTGGTAAAGCAAATACTCCGAAATACGGACTTTTGTTCCATTCTACATTTATCGGCCGTGCTGGTATCAAAAATAGAGGTCGAATCGCAAGATATCTGGCGAATAAATGCTCCATTGCTTCTAGAATCGATTGTTTCACTGAAACACCATTGAGAATATTTGGTGAAAAATTACGACAGCAAGTAGAAGACAGATTAGTGTATTTCACAACTGGCAAAGAGCCAAAGAAAAATTTAGACGTAATGAGAGAAGCACTGGAGGAAACGGCACATATGTTGGCTACTATGGAAAAAGAGAGAAAAGAAAAAAAGAAAAAGAGGAAAAGCCAAGTACTCGAAAACGGCCAAGAAAATGGACATGTTGAAAACGGCGAAGTAGAAGTGAATACATCTTTACGAAAAAAAAAGAAAAAAAGATCGAAACACATTGACGAAAACAACTAATTGTGTATCCTCTATAGATTCATGCACTATAAATACATCTGCTGGGTCTTTTTATATCATATAAAACGAGATTGTGCGAAAATGTATTTCGTTAATAAACAATTTCCAAAAATACACCATTATTTTTTATATACGGGGAGAACATATACATTTTTTTATATTGAAGAAAATATACATGGATCTGCAAGGATACTGTACTCAACATTGCGTTGATTTTAATTACTAGAGTCATAAAATATACAATAAATAACATAATATAAGTAATTGACTAATTTTGCAATATACCATAGAATATTAAAATGACAAAACTGAGACAAAAATAATAGATAAAAGAAATTTTATTGCTCCGATTCGTTGTTTTTATGAGAATGGATAGGAATAAAAAGAGAGGCAATTATAAAAATAAATGATGCTACCACTAAGTGTTAACACCAGCACCAATTATCATTTAATAACAATAAGTCTATATATATATAAAGTAGATATATATAAATATCTAAACAATAATTACAATAAAATTATTAGATCTAGCCAAGTCTCAGAGTCTCAAAAATCAACAACTGAGCTATTTAAATATCGGACCGCATATAAATATTATAAGCAATGTATTACTTTGCTATAATTCACATTGGAGGATTAATAAATGCTCATTGATCAAATATAAATTTCATTTGAGATGTTATACATCAGATTATGTATATTTTATACGCGCGATTAATATTGATATGTATTAGTATAAAACATGAATTTCCAAATATTTATTATATAATAAGAAATAATATAATGTTAATAATATAATATTTTGTCGATTAAAATACATAGATATATTAAAAGGATCTCTTGTATAGCCACATTTTTATTCGAACCTTAATTTTCCCAAATTCTTTTTTTAACATTTTGAGATAATTCAATTCGTAACATAGTCATATGAAATAAATGTCAGATTCATTATAAAATAAGAATCTAACTTGTAGAAATTTGTAATGATGTCCGCGGTTAATCAGTCTAACATAAGCAATATTATCGCGCGCAAATAAAATAATAAGGAATAATAACGTAATTGTTGCGCAAAATATTGAAAAATTCATTAATTAAGAGAAAATTGATTTCAACAGGTGCGATGTCGCGCGAATTGTGTTAATTTTGAGTTTTACAAAGGGTTTTACAATACTAAACTGTACACGTGTATCCCTGTATAACACTTTGTTATATTAATAATCGGCTGATGATCCTCTATCTTGCGTTAAATTGACTAAAACGACCTTTCTCTTTTTATATATTTGTACAATATATTTTCACATTTGAAAAATATATCCCTGCCTATGTGTTGAACATCTCGCCTCATATAAAATGCTCAAATAATGGAAAATGTAAAGGACCACTCCCCTTTACATAGTTCAGTCTCTGGTACTCGCGCGAAAGCTCCTCTCTCTCTCTGATTAGAGAATATGATTTCTTTGAGCTAACTTTATAGAGCAAAACTAATGAATAACTATTCAACATGATGCTTTTTTTCTTTTCTTTAATTACAGAATGGCTTCTATGGTATCGATTGCTTCTGGGATCTAATTGATACACTAATATTATATAATTTTAAGAGAATATGTTCATGTATATAATATTTAACTTTGCCACTGAGCTTGAAATAATTTCAGCTTGCAACTTTTGCATGAATATGTTGAGAAGTGATGAGATAAATATCTTCCCATTTTTCAAAATATATATATGTACAATAAATAATAATTCAGGTAATCTAAATTTTTTATCATATTATCATCATAATTCCTGCTACAAGTAAAGTATTTCAATGTCATGTAGCAAAGGTAAACTAATCTAAAACAACGGTTGTGACGTGAACATGTGATTATATATATAACACAATAATGTGGTATTGATTACTGCTTACAATTAATTATGATGTGATAATAATTCCATAAAACTTTATGTCAAAGGATATGCATTTCATTGTTAGTAAGTAATATAATCAAATGCTAATGATGCTTCGCTGCTTGGTTTACGATAATCATACAATATCATGTAATATATATAGTAAATATTAATTTTTTTTAATTTACGCAATTAGCGAATCCTTAAACAATTTACAATGGATCGCATATGCAATATTGATGTTAAATCGAGCACGAAAATTTTTTCACGCCGATTTTGTGCATAGGTTCAAAAAATTCAATTTTACTACAAAATAAATGCTAAAAATATCGATTTCTATCTACAGCCATTTTTACGAGAAAGAGCATCTTAATAATTGTAGTTTCTCCTGCCGTAGTAACAAAGAGGGAAGCACTTATTAATAATATCCATTAATGATTCATTCTTTCTCTTCGTATAACTCCTATGTCAGCTGCCAAAATGTCATTTTACATGTCTTTAAAAGATTACTGCAATTTTGTCTCTCGTAGTTTTATTATTATAAAAGCATCAACACTTTTATCCCCATCATGTTCATGTTCCAGACAATGTACATGTGACGATAAGTGAATGCGACTAATCAGATTATGCTCTTCTTTGAGTATGTATATATATATATATATATATATATATTTTTATGATACATATCTATATAATAAGGCATAATCCCGATTCCTCCAAAAGAGAGAGATTAATATACATTATGTATAAAATACACACAGTGATAAATCCTGCCAAATTTGTTCCCGCGTAATTTACAAGCAATAACGCCGCATATTATTGAAATTACACGTATTTATGAGTTTCAGAAATGCTGCTTGTCATCGCCTTTGTATTTTAATGCGTAGTTATTAGCTCAGACTATATATGTACCAAGCTGCTTTTTAATAATTGAGAAAGACAACGATTAATATCTTTATATATTATTCATTATTATTGTATATTATTTGTATTTATGCGTATTTTTTTCTTTTTACCGTCTATGTATATCGTTTTATACAAGTTCTAATTTTTAAGAACCTGTATGGTATTGAATGATTTCATTTATACAAATCAGAATTATAAAATGCCAGCATAAATTCTCTAATTGATATCCCCTTGCATCGAGTTAACTCTTGAATGTAAGTAATACACATTTCCTAAATCATGTTGCACTGAGAGTTCTATAAGCAATAATAAAAAATATTTCGATACATGTATAATCGTCTAATGTTGAATCTTCTATAAATTTAAAGAAGAATTAGCTCAAGTGAAAATTTTAAGATTATCTGTTCAATCAAATCCATTACAATAAATAGTTCAACAACAAAATAAAATTTTGGTTTATTAAAAACTTTAATCTATGCACACACATTGTGCTATGATACTTTATCTTATACTGATAATCCTTTATTGGAATGCAGGAAAAAACGTTGCATTGGGCTGCTGCTGCTGCAGTTGGTTCTGTGACAGAGGTTGCATTGGTGACACATATCCAATTCCTGGTGCTACAACCATACAATTTCTCAACCATAGAATTTCTCCCACTCGTACGTTTTCGTATATCAGATCGGTAAGACAACATTCAAATAACAATGATTAATTTATTATGTATTTATGTGTGTAATTATTGAAATGATCAACAGCAAAATAAAATCATGTTTTATTCAAAAATGTCATGCTATATAGTTTAACATTTATTTATCAGAAGTCAATAAGTCTATTAAAATAATACTTGATAAAAGAATAGTAGATCTTTCACAACAGGCCATTAAGGAATTACTCACATGTTATCTTAATCTGATGTTGTGGGCTATTGCTCGCCAATTGGTTCATTGTCAGTGCTGGACCAGTGTGTTTCGCTTTACTACCCATTATGTTATCAAGATCGATATTCAATCCCGAACTAGCCCAAGTTGAGCCAACTTGTGTAGAGGATGTCGTATTGCTAGATGTTTGACTTTGGATATTCGTAGATGTAGGTGGAAGAAGATTTGTTACAGGTGACAATCCGATCGTTCCTAAATATGACACTAATCTTAGTTTATAATATGTGTATTGTGATTGTTGGCTCATATATATCCATGTTTGTATAAAAATTTGTGTTTCAATGAAAAGTTATACAAATAAAAAGTAGACTTATTTTATTCATTTATTACAATTTATGTTTATATTATGTAATAATAAAATATTGCATTAAAATTTTATTCAGTATAATATATGTGTTATATAACATGAATATAAATGAAAATAATCATGATAATCTCATTGTAAACACATATTTAATATTACATTTTATGTCAATGAATTGAACGTTTTACCTCATGGAATTCAAATTCTTTTAATATTGTTGAGATATTCATATTATATGATTTAATTTATTTGATTGAATTATCAATTTTTAAAATTACACTATACAATAAAGCCTTTATTTTAATTTTTATTACATGTAATCACCCTCCTTTATAAAATTATGAATTTTACAACGTAATCTTTCTTTGTAATTTAAGTAGAAAAATTAATTCTAAAAAGAAATGTATTCTATTTGTAAATGTATGTATACATTGTACACATATACATAAATAAATTTATAATTACTATATAATACTATAAAAATGATAAAGAATTATTTCTGACACAATATTGTAATAACATGACTGTGACTACTATTCTCTCTAATCTAGTCTATGCGATATGAAAAGTAGATCCAAATATCGTGTCAATGAAGGACAACACTTTTGCGTTTAAAGCTCTACAATTCGCATCGTGTTCGCCATAGATGACATTCTGTGACAATATAAGCCATTCTCTTATTTCCATCAGGGGCTCAGACAATTCATCAACAATAGCATCTTTTGGCACTGCGATGAGCACGGATCCAATATTCTCTGTAACAACTAATCTCACTGTCGCTTCCTCATGATTCCTCACTGTCCAGGTAAGTTCTAATATTTCCTTGCCCATCTTTGGTGCCAATGGACAATTCTGTGCTGCTAACATTATGGCGGACAATGTTTTCAGGAAACGTAGCAGTAATATGTTCTCTTGATCTGTATAAATCCTCAAACCTTTCAATTTATAAGTATCGTAATGGCCAAAACCGTGTAGAAGCGGATAGAAAAATGATGATACGACATTGCCAAAGTGATTAATGTATACTTTGGGAGCTTTTGAGAGGCTATTATGAGCAAATCGTCTTGTACGCGATGCAATTCTCTTGTCGACGATTTCTTGCCAGTCTATAGATTGTTCTTTCGATGCTTCTAGATCAATGTCGATATCTTCCTCGTACCATACTTGTTGTCTCTTACGTTCCTCCGTATCCATAAAGAGCGATATCCGACTCGGAATTCGTTTCTCCTTAATCGCCGTATCAACTTCGTCGTTATTTGTGTTATCAACATGGATTTTTGATAACTGCTTGGCAGATTCGGCTAGTATATCCAGAAACAATAAGCGCTGGTTGAGCGAATACTTTCCGACGTCCTCGTAAAACTCTTTACACAGAAACTCGGCAGATTCTTTCGGATACACGGTCACAATCGCTACGCAAGATTTGAAGATCACAAGTTCAAAGTTCTCGAAATAACAATGTTGCTTCAATGTGACGAGAAGTTGCAAGAGTTCTATAGCAAAGGATACATCGTCGTTCGGTAGCTGTGTTAATATCAGTTCTTCACAGACCGATAAGGATTCGGAGAATATATCGGGATCGGAAATGGTTCGTTCGTCTGTTAAATTATCGCGCACATCTCGTAGATACATCGGGCGTACTTTCTTGGACGGTTTGTCGTCATTCATATCATAAGGAACTAGATCATCATCGCTATCCAGATCTGAAGTGTTCTCACAATCTTGTCCCATCTGTTGCTCCTTTTTGTTCTTACTTGTTGAATTATCCTTTATCGACGAGTCATTTTTTAACGAACACGGACTGTCTTCGATTTCTCCGTTCGGTAGCTTCTTCTCAAGATCGGGTAAGATATCGCATTCGACGCCCAATTCGTAAATCTTCCTACTACTTAGAGAATCGAAGATGATATTCTCGGTAATCAACTCGTCGCTTCGTCCGTATCGTTCTTTCGCATCTACAGTTGATGCATTTAGATTCTTTAGAGACTCGAGTAATTTCAACACTTTTGTAGGCATGTTGTCGTATTCAAATTTTAATTTTGGCATATCATCCGTGGTAGATAAAAAATTTATACAAATCTCAGCGGTCATCATACCCATCGCTCTTAGAGATATATTTGTGCACTCAAGATGAACAGATACTCCCGAAAGCAATAATTTCTGATACTGGTCTCTTTCAGTTTGTTTTAAATGATCTTTACATGTTTTTACAGACAGGATAATCAGCTTCGTAATGTATTCGTGCTGTTCCGCGGATGCGTGATTCAAGATACTCCCGTCGCTCCACATTTCCAAGAGTTTGATCAGTAATTCCGGTAAAATATTATTCTCATTCAAAAAACATGACAAGTAGGAAATCAAGTTTACAATTAAATTTTCGTTCTCGTAGTAACGCATTAAAGGTATTTTCGTCGTTAAAATGTATCTCCAATTCTGTTCCATTAATAAATTTCCAAAAACGGAACGCATACCGAGCTTAGGATCGCAACGCTTCAAGAATAATACCGCAATATATTCGATGGCGGCCGAATTTAATTCGCGAAATATGCTTTCGACCAAGTGTCGCTCGTTTTTTTTATTTTCAAAACACCACTCCTCCAAAATATCGACGAAGCAGATAAAATTAATCGGTTTTAAGCTAATTACAATCTTACTAATTAAAGATGAGAGTACAACTGTTCTTGGTTCAATGCTACATTTGCATAATCCAGCATTGATAAACGATATCGCGCGAGAGATGTGAAAACAGAGCGTGTTCACGTAAACTTGCGGTGTATATGATTTAGGTGTATTAAACTGCAATTTGTTAGATACGCGGTTGGGCAAGGAGACCAAAATTTGTGTTGTATTCAACCAAGCCTGATCTAATTCTTCCTCTTGCATGTAAGATTGCACCTCGTATCTACATGCGTCCACTATTCCTGAAAATATCGCATCGCTTTTCAACAGATTTTCCAGTAATATAGAAACAACACGAATTTTACTTTCGTCTTTGGTCTCGTTCAAAGTTGTAGTTAAAGCCCTCAAAGACTCCGATAACATGAAAACCGTCGCACCATCGACAATTATCAATTTTTCGATCAAGGGATCCAAGCCGTTTTTATCTTTTATTAGCGGCCAATCGCGATCGAATTTATCGATTATCTCTTCCAAGATTCTTCCATATAATACAGTATCCACTTTTGCATTGGAATCAAGACCGCTATATTTTTGAGTAGTAACAGGCCCCGGTAAAAATCTGGTATAGTTCAAGATAGATGATCTTATTCTTTCCAAATCGACGGAACTTTTAATACTGCACATGGTGCATAACACTTCCAATAATTGATTGGCGGCATTATTCGAGAGATTCTCAGTTGACGAAACATTCTCTTCGTTTTTACAGGCTGCAAGGAAAGGACTATCTTGGGGGAATTATATTAGCATCAAACTCAGAGGATATATACCTCACGTACGGATTTCCGATAACACATGCAACATCGATTTAAAATTTCTTATATTTGTTACAAACAGAGAGCTAATGAATAACTAGTGAATAACTTAGAATAGCTTAGAAATTCCAATCGTTTTAATGCATATCTCAAAATTTGTATAATTACATCATGTTACGTAAATATAGTGTATGTATGCATTATATATAACTATAGAATATCGTTAACTCGTGAAACGGAAAAAAGTGTTTTTTAATTCTGCACGCTCACCTGCGTAATTGACGGTGTTGGAAGGCGCGTTGTTCATTCCTATGAAGATGTTTGTATTGTTAGGGCTGCTTATTCGATCATCAGGTAACCTCATGGATGGGGTATTTAAACTATCTAAATCCGACAAAAGGTCCGTATTTGAAGTCACTATATAAAAGGAATAATATATATAAAATATCGTTTTCATATTAATGAAATTATTAATCATATTTTGTACAACAATCCAGGTTTTCTGTCAAATTTGTGTAATTATTGAAATGATCAACAGCAAAATAAAATCATGTTTTATTCAAAAATGTCATGCTATATAGTTTAACATTTATTTATCAGAAGTCAATAAGTCTATTAAAATAATACTTGATAAAAGAATAGTAGATCTTTCACAACAGGCCATTAAGGAATTACTCACATGTTATCTTAATCTGATGTTGTGGGCTATTGCTCGCCAATTGGTTCATTGTCAGTGCTGGACCAGTGTGTTTCGCTTTACTACCCATTATGTTATCAAGATCGATATTCAATCCCGAACTAGCCCAAGTTGAGCCAACTTGTGTAGAGGATGTCGTATTGCTAGATGTTTGACTTTGGATATTCGTAGATGTAGGTGGAAGAAGATTTGTTACAGGTGACAATCCGATCGTTCCTAAATATGACACTAATCTTAGTTTATAATATGTGTATTGTGATTGTTGGCTCATATATATCCATGTTTGTATAAAAATTTGTGTTTCAATGAAAAGTTATACAAATAAAAAGTAGACTTATTTTATTCATTTATTACAATTTATGTTTATATTATGTAATAATAAAATATTGCATTAAAATTTTATTCAGTATAATATATGTGTTATATAACATGAATATAAATGAAAATAATCATGATAATCTCATTGTAAACACATATTTAATATTACATTTTATGTCAATGAATTGAACGTTTTACCTCATGGAATTCAAATTCTTTTAATATTGTTGAGATATTCATATTATATGATTTAATTTATTTGATTGAATTATCAATTTTTAAAATTACACTATACAATAAAGCCTTTATTTTAATTTTTATTACATGTAATCACCCTCCTTTATAAAATTATGAATTTTACAACGTAATCTTTCTTTGTAATTTAAGTAGAAAAATTAATTCTAAAAAGAAATGTATTCTATTTGTAAATGTATGTATACATTGTACACATATACATAAATAAATTTATAATTACTATATAATACTATAAAAATGATAAAGAATTATTTCTGACACAATATTGTAATAACATGACTGTGACTACTATTCTCTCTAATCTAGTCTATGCGATATGAAAAGTAGATCCAAATATCGTGTCAATGAAGGACAACACTTTTGCGTTTAAAGCTCTACAATTCGCATCGTGTTCGCCATAGATGACATTCTGTGACAATATAAGCCATTCTCTTATTTCCATCAGGGGCTCAGACAATTCATCAACAATAGCATCTTTTGGCACTGCGATGAGCACGGATCCAATATTCTCTGTAACAACTAATCTCACTGTCGCTTCCTCATGATTCCTCACTGTCCAGGTAAGTTCTAATATTTCCTTGCCCATCTTTGGTGCCAATGGACAATTCTGTGCTGCTAACATTATGGCGGACAATGTTTTCAGGAAACGTAGCAGTAATATGTTCTCTTGATCTGTATAAATCCTCAAACCTTTCAATTTATAAGTATCGTAATGGCCAAAACCGTGTAGAAGCGGATAGAAAAATGATGATACGACATTGCCAAAGTGATTAATGTATACTTTGGGAGCTTTTGAGAGGCTATTATGAGCAAATCGTCTTGTACGCGATGCAATTCTCTTGTCGACGATTTCTTGCCAGTCTATAGATTGTTCTTTCGATGCTTCTAGATCAATGTCGATATCTTCCTCGTACCATACTTGTTGTCTCTTACGTTCCTCCGTATCCATAAAGAGCGATATCCGACTCGGAATTCGTTTCTCCTTAATCGCCGTATCAACTTCGTCGTTATTTGTGTTATCAACATGGATTTTTGATAACTGCTTGGCAGATTCGGCTAGTATATCCAGAAACAATAAGCGCTGGTTGAGCGAATACTTTCCGACGTCCTCGTAAAACTCTTTACACAGAAACTCGGCAGATTCTTTCGGATACACGGTCACAATCGCTACGCAAGATTTGAAGATCACAAGTTCAAAGTTCTCGAAATAACAATGTTGCTTCAATGTGACGAGAAGTTGCAAGAGTTCTATAGCAAAGGATACATCGTCGTTCGGTAGCTGTGTTAATATCAGTTCTTCACAGACCGATAAGGATTCGGAGAATATATCGGGATCGGAAATGGTTCGTTCGTCTGTTAAATTATCGCGCACATCTCGTAGATACATCGGGCGTACTTTCTTGGACGGTTTGTCGTCATTCATATCATAAGGAACTAGATCATCATCGCTATCCAGATCTGAAGTGTTCTCACAATCTTGTCCCATCTGTTGCTCCTTTTTGTTCTTACTTGTTGAATTATCCTTTATCGACGAGTCATTTTTTAACGAACACGGACTGTCTTCGATTTCTCCGTTCGGTAGCTTCTTCTCAAGATCGGGTAAGATATCGCATTCGACGCCCAATTCGTAAATCTTCCTACTACTTAGAGAATCGAAGATGATATTCTCGGTAATCAACTCGTCGCTTCGTCCGTATCGTTCTTTCGCATCTACAGTTGATGCATTTAGATTCTTTAGAGACTCGAGTAATTTCAACACTTTTGTAGGCATGTTGTCGTATTCAAATTTTAATTTTGGCATATCATCCGTGGTAGATAAAAAATTTATACAAATCTCAGCGGTCATCATACCCATCGCTCTTAGAGATATATTTGTGCACTCAAGATGAACAGATACTCCCGAAAGCAATAATTTCTGATACTGGTCTCTTTCAGTTTGTTTTAAATGATCTTTACATGTTTTTACAGACAGGATAATCAGCTTCGTAATGTATTCGTGCTGTTCCGCGGATGCGTGATTCAAGATACTCCCGTCGCTCCACATTTCCAAGAGTTTGATCAGTAATTCCGGTAAAATATTATTCTCATTCAAAAAACATGACAAGTAGGAAATCAAGTTTACAATTAAATTTTCGTTCTCGTAGTAACGCATTAAAGGTATTTTCGTCGTTAAAATGTATCTCCAATTCTGTTCCATTAATAAATTTCCAAAAACGGAACGCATACCGAGCTTAGGATCGCAACGCTTCAAGAATAATACCGCAATATATTCGATGGCGGCCGAATTTAATTCGCGAAATATGCTTTCGACCAAGTGTCGCTCGTTTTTTTTATTTTCAAAACACCACTCCTCCAAAATATCGACGAAGCAGATAAAATTAATCGGTTTTAAGCTAATTACAATCTTACTAATTAAAGATGAGAGTACAACTGTTCTTGGTTCAATGCTACATTTGCATAATCCAGCATTGATAAACGATATCGCGCGAGAGATGTGAAAACAGAGCGTGTTCACGTAAACTTGCGGTGTATATGATTTAGGTGTATTAAACTGCAATTTGTTAGATACGCGGTTGGGCAAGGAGACCAAAATTTGTGTTGTATTCAACCAAGCCTGATCTAATTCTTCCTCTTGCATGTAAGATTGCACCTCGTATCTACATGCGTCCACTATTCCTGAAAATATCGCATCGCTTTTCAACAGATTTTCCAGTAATATAGAAACAACACGAATTTTACTTTCGTCTTTGGTCTCGTTCAAAGTTGTAGTTAAAGCCCTCAAAGACTCCGATAACATGAAAACCGTCGCACCATCGACAATTATCAATTTTTCGATCAAGGGATCCAAGCCGTTTTTATCTTTTATTAGCGGCCAATCGCGATCGAATTTATCGATTATCTCTTCCAAGATTCTTCCATATAATACAGTATCCACTTTTGCATTGGAATCAAGACCGCTATATTTTTGAGTAGTAACAGGCCCCGGTAAAAATCTGGTATAGTTCAAGATAGATGATCTTATTCTTTCCAAATCGACGGAACTTTTAATACTGCACATGGTGCATAACACTTCCAATAATTGATTGGCGGCATTATTCGAGAGATTCTCAGTTGACGAAACATTCTCTTCGTTTTTACAGGCTGCAAGGAAAGGACTATCTTGGGGGAATTATATTAGCATCAAACTCAGAGGATATATACCTCACGTACGGATTTCCGATAACACATGCAACATCGATTTAAAATTTCTTATATTTGTTACAAACAGAGAGCTAATGAATAACTAGTGAATAACTTAGAATAGCTTAGAAATTCCAATCGTTTTAATGCATATCTCAAAATTTGTATAATTACATCATGTTACGTAAATATAGTGTATGTATGCATTATATATAACTATAGAATATCGTTAACTCGTGAAACGGAAAAAAGTGTTTTTTAATTCTGCACGCTCACCTGCGTAATTGACGGTGTTGGAAGGCGCGTTGTTCATTCCTATGAAGATGTTTGTATTGTTAGGGCTGCTTATTCGATCATCAGGTAACCTCATGGATGGGGTATTTAAACTATCTAAATCCGACAAAAGGTCCGTATTTGAAGTCACTATATAAAAGGAATAATATATATAAAATATCGTTTTCATATTAATGAAATTATTAATCATATTTTGTACAACAATCCAGGTTTTCTAACTGTCAAATTAAATTTCAAAGTATTTGTAACAAATGTGTGATCCTACCTGTATTGTTATTTGTTATCTGATTATTCAGATCTTGCGGTAAAGAATCAAATAAATCGTTGGTTGTTTTAGAGTTTTGTATGACAGCAGTTCCAGCCATTGTGCCTGTTGTCTGCATTGTATTGGCGTGCATTGTATTACCAATGTTCGCATTATTTGCCGTCGGATTATTTACAGTTGGTATTGCTATACCCATCAAATTGATTTGTGTTTGCGGCTGACTCGGGAGATTGGATATAGCGACATTGTTAAAGGCAGACGTGAAATCGGCAAACTCGTCGTTGCTGTCCTTCGTTTTAACCGTCGTGGGATTATTAAACACACTAGTAAAATCACCAAAATCTAAATTTGCATTTTGCGATTGAGCGAAAGACTGAGTATTCGCCCTTGGATTGAAATCATCATCGTCTAATCTGTTATTATCACTCTGCGATTCAAAAATATCATTTAATATATCGTTTTTGGTCTTCTGTTTATTTGTTGGCGATGATAAATTATTACTTTGTTGTACTGGTGCACTATTCTGTAAGTAAAAAGAAATTAAGACATGTAATTACATAACAATTGAAACATCAATATTTCATATTTTAAGAATAAAAAATGGAAAGAGAAGATTGATAATATAATATTTGCAAAAGCAAAACAAATTTTATTTTTCTTAAACTTACATTAGATTGCTCTTTTCCATAATTGGCTGCTGCTCCAAGATCTACTTTCTTGATAGTTCTCGTTGTGCGTGCCGGAGATGTATTTGTAGAAGGTATAGATATTTGAGCAGATTTACCAATTTGATTGATATTGTCCAATGTATCCCTGTATTCTCTCCCACCTTTCTTTGGGCTAGTATCATTGTCTGAGTCTTCTCTTTCGCCATCGTCGCTATTATATAAAAATATGAGTTATAAAAAAAAATGCAAGTTACAGCATGTTTCTTTTAAGCAAACACTCATATATCAAATGTGTGAAATGTTTAATAAAATGACATAAAAAGATACAAAGTGTGGGGATAAATTAGCGATAAATTAATAATAAATACTTTGTTGCTTGTTTCATATATAACACATACATACACATATCCCAAAACTTAAATTTTAAAATGTAAAACTATAAAAAAAATATTCAAATACTAACAAAATGGATAAAGACATAGCAAACAGTGATTATTAAAAAAGAAAATGCAAATGTTTTATATATATATACCTGTTATTTGTATCTTCAAATCCTTTTCCACGATTGTCCCAGTCGTTATATGTTTCTGTACTGGATTTATTCCATTTAGGATTGTCCATCCATCTGTCACCACCCCCGAATCTCATTCCCATCGCTTCGCTCGATAAGCCAACGTATTTATCTTTATTTTTCTTAGCCTTCTTTCTTTCTTCTCTAAGTTTATCATCATCTTGGATAAAATCAATCAATTCCCTAACTTTATGTCTAATATTTATTCCTTGATCTTTCCCAAACTCATCAATGCAGGTGTAATTCTCTAAGGATCTGAGATCATAGATGTGTTCGCGTGATGACGTGACAACCCGTTCCGAACCATTACGAACTAAATAATTAAGAAGGAGCAATGACTGTAAGAGAACAGAAATGGAAATTATTAGTGAAACAATAAAATGCGCTTTTATTTACATATTTGTGAATTTTATTTACTAGTTTATAATATAACATATATAATAATACAATTTCTCTCTCTTCTCTCTGTGTATTTTCGATATAGTAGAGAGTGTTTATTTTAAGGCAAACCGTGACAGCAATCCTTCTTACATACAAAAACCTTGTATAATGTAATGTAAAGGAAAACGATCATACCTTGTACGTTCGTCGCCAATTTCGTTTATTCTCTTGCAACATCCTTTTCCAGAGCATGGACATCACCTCTGGAAATTGCTCGTACGTGAACGTAGCTTGAGCCAGCTCTTGCATCATCGCCCCTTAAAAAAATGAAAGCAACGCATTCGGTTAAGTAATTAATTTCTCTATACATTTTTCAAGTTATATCTCTAAAAATAAACGTTATATATATCACTGATAGTGTGATACCTGTAGGACCCCATGCGTCATCATTGGTTGCTTCCCGAACTTTGGCCTCTGTTTCCGTGTAATTCATTACGACGTTGGTCCTGCACACAAATGCAACTTATTTATATGTAATGTATCTCGCACGCATAATTTGCAATATGCAGCGCTACGTATGTAATTATAAATAAAGTACTGAATTATGCGCATAATAATATTTCTATTCGCTCTCGTCGTGTAATGCGAATTAATCAACAGTAATTATTTCCGTAAAAGAGCCTGATAAAGCCGTTTAATAACCATTGTGTGTTACAGAGTATATATTGTTGATATACTTTATTCACAGATAACTTTTAGCTGAATCGGAGAACACGGAGAAAAGGGGAGGTTGCTTGCAATTTTCCCATAATTATCAATGTCATTATATTTATAAGGAATAGTTAAAAGTATAGCTATATAGCTTTTCCCTGTTTGTTTTATTTTTGGTCTGCAAACACACATTTGCGCATACATACATATAATGCCGCATTCGTGCGGCAACAAAAGTGCACACAGCCGTGAATTACGTAAATGATTACAGCTTAAAGTCATTAAGAAGATTTGCGGTGTATCTCACATGACTTATTACGCATTCAATTGATAATTTCGAAACGCATTCGTAAGTTTAATATTAATTTATTAAAATTATTAATTCGCTATCTTAATTTTTAATAGTCTCCAAATAAGGTAAATAGTTAATTAATTTATTGTTTCAAAAATATTATTAACAATATATAATCGTAGGAGAATGTACTATATTTAATGTTAAATTTTCAGATACATTAACATTTTTAATTAATGTTTCTTTGAACAAAAAATATATTGATTCAACTTTATTATTAATATACATTAACGGGAGATGTTTGAAATAGAAATGTCACAATAAAGCTTTATATTTAAAATTTGTTTTTGACAAATTTGAAGTATTTAGTCTACACACACAAAAATTACTCGTGACAATATTGCTATTTAAATTCCTCATACGAGTAGTAATTTAATTTGTAATGATTTCATTTAAATAACAAATCGAACTGTCAAAACAAATTGTCTTTTAAACAGGCTTTAAACAGCGCGGAAGCTAATAAAACCGATATGAAGAATGAAAGAGTAGGCGAGTCGAATACCTTCGTAATACTAAACGGGCATTCACATATACACATACACACGCGAACAATACGAATTGGAATCACGTATCGTGCGATTGAGCTTCTCCACTGCATAATAGGCATCAGGATATACCTGATATACCTAATGATATTTGAACAAGAGATCGCGACATGTGTCTTTTGACATTTTCGATAAATCGTAGAAATAATAAAAAAAATATAAATTGATATAAACAAGAGATAAAGTAAATTAAAACAAGGTGCGAATATTAAGATTCTGTGAGAAAGTTTTGAGTTTTCGAACTCTCAATATTAAGAAAATATCGGGAGAAAGTAATTTGATCAGATAAGACCCAAAAACTTTCGAAATACAATTTTCCCCGTACATTCCCAATGAGCAGACAATATTTTTGAAAACGTTTTTAAAAATTTTTGAAAAATATTTTTAAGACATTAAAATAATGGATTAAAAATCCCCTTTTAATCATTAAAAAAATGTTTATATTAACATTTGCTATTTCAAACGAATATTTCATGTAAAATAAATAATTAATAAACATTAAATAAATATTATTTTTACAATCAATTGTACAATGTATAATTAATGAATAATAAATATTAAAAATACATTTTAAAAATATTATCTGCTCATTGTGTCACTACATAATTTTTAAGATTTTTACAGATGTAGATAAAACACTTTAATTTTAATCTTGTTGTAGTTAAACATTAAGAGATTACAAGTGTACATAAAACTAAAGTAAGTTGAAAAATATGTATTTAATTCCAAGAAAGTCGGATAGATATTTCGAAACATTTGTGGGAGCGTCGACAAGATAAATACGCGCGCACCTGAAACGCGCGTTAAAGAGAGAATATCTCGTGCTATCTGTCATTAATACACAATTGTTTTCGAGAAATCGTTTTATCACCTCGCGTCGCGTATATATATATATAATGGAACTTCAAGGTCGCGCCAGGAAATTGTCCATGCCGTTCCAGTTTTACAAGTCTCTCCCTCTCACCGCTTCGCCTCTCCTCGACGAGACACGAAGAAAGCGATTACACACTCTCGCGTGAACGATTGATGTAATCGACGAACTTGTCGACGAATGCTTCCCCCGTTCCTTCCCGCGATAAGAATGGACGGCGATCGCGCGTGACAATTTCCTCGACAATATTCTCTATAACAAAACGAGCACGATCTTTGACGTTTACGTGACGTTTACGCGATCGAGGAGAGGCGAGGAATTGCAAGTTGAAAATTAAACGGAATGCGCTACGAAAAAAAAAAAAAGCCAAAACAAGGTTATATCGCGCACCCTCGACGAACGACTTACGCCTTGTCCATCAGCTCCCGCACTTTCCACATGTCATTAATACACAATTGTTTTCGAGAAATCGTTTTATCACCTCGCGTCGCGTATATATATATATAATGGAACTTCAAGGTCGCGCCAGGAAATTGTCCATGCCGTTCCAGTTTTACAAGTCTCTCCCTCTCACCGCTTCGCCTCTCCTCGACGAGACACGAAGAAAGCGATTACACACTCTCGCGTGAACGATTGATGTAATCGACGAACTTGTCGACGAATGCTTCCCCCGTTCCTTCCCGCGATAAGAATGGACGGCGATCGCGCGTGACAATTTCCTCGACAATATTCTCTATAACAAAACGAGCACGATCTTTGACGTTTACGTGACGTTTACGCGATCGAGGAGAGGCGAGGAATTGCAAGTTGAAAATTAAACGGAATGCGCTACGAAAAAAAAAAAAAAGCCAAAACAAGGTTATATCGCGCACCCTCGACGAACGACTTACGCCTTGTCCATCAGCTCCCGCACTTTCCACATGTTCATCATGGTTGCACGAGCGTCTTCGCGGACGATGTTTCTCCTCGCGCGATATCCTCTACGGCGAAACGCTATCGGCAGCACGTAGCTAAACTGTCGCCAGATGTTTTTCGGAGCATCTGATACCGCGACGGTCGAACGGAACGTCACCAGGCAGTAGCCATGTTATCCCTTCCACGTTTACAGACATCCCGCGGCGGTCACAGGTGTCTCCCATTGCCACGATTGTACAGCGTAGTAATTTTTTACTTTTTTTTTTTTACGGCATTAACTACACGGTAGATGAGAGGTCTGTTCGTTCTGCATTTCTGCACTCTTTAAGTTTCGTGTTCGAGAATTTATTTCTCAGCGTTGGTGACCTCGAATGCAAGAAAAACTCAACAAATCCATTCAAATTGGATGTATATTCGCATGTTTGAAAGAAAAAGAGAGAAAATAGATGCCTTGAAATTTCCTAGGCAGGACTTTCGAAACGCGTATTCGCATCTACATATTCCGTGCATTATGGCTGTTCGCGGTTTCTGAGATGTGGCATCACTGCCAATGTCGTATTCAACATGTAGGAGCGCGTTTAAATTTTTGTATACATGATACGAGCCGCTACTAATCAACGATGGCAGATTTCAACGATGGAGTGGATGGGAAGCTGGCGTTTAGAATGCGAAAAGTCAATCCCGAACAATTTCACACGCTCGTAAGGATGCACCTATCCTTCGAATTGGATCTTAATACGGAGGAGTAAGTGAAGCCCTGGATCTCTCGATTGTATTTCCGTTTCGGCTATCCGTACTTTTTGCGCGATTGATAACACTGTCGAAACGTCGCGCTTCTAATAAATAAAATCTATATTTTATCCCTTGTTTCATCGTTTTATCGATTTTAACGTTCGACCATTGTCTCATTAACTGTAGGTGGTAATTTACAAGTATGTCGTTTTGATAACATTTTTCTTCTTCTTTTTTTTTTAGCAACGATGGTATTACTGAGAAAGCGAGATTGAAAAAATGGGGTCTTCTGAGCTTCACCAAAAAGCCCAAGTCTTCGGTTAACTTAGAAAAGGGTACAGAAGGTGTTACATTATCCGAGGATGGTATAAGTCACGTGACCCAATTGATAGATTATTTATCTAAAGAACAAAGTAAGAAAGTATATTAGATAACAAAGGATTCAATAGATTTTTAAATATATTTCTCTTCTTATGAATATCATTTTATAGATATTGTACAAGAGGGAATATTTCGACGTACTGGAAAGTTAACAAGGCAACAAGACTTAAAAACGGCTATGTCTCAAGGTGTATCTTTGGATCTCGACGATGGTCGATTTAGTGTACACGATTGTGCCTCTGTATTGAAAGGATTTCTAGCAGAACTGTCTGAGCCGCTCCTCACAGATCTACATTATCCAGCACATTGTCAGATAGCCGGTAATAAATAGAAGCATATTGTTTTGTTTACATAAAATACATGCATCATATTTATATGCAAACTATTTGCAGAATTATGCAGCTTGGATGCAAAAACAAATGACACGAGATTATTGAGTTCTTTACAACTGCTTCTGCTGCTTTTGCCACCATCTAACAGAATTTTATTGAAAGCTATCCTTATTTTGTTGAATAAGACAGCGAGTTATGAGCATAGTAATAAAATGAATAGCGATACATTGGCAACTCTCTTTACGCCACATTTATTATGCCCACGAAAGTTGTCACCTGAAGCCTTGCATATCAATTCGCAGAATCTATCTTGTTTAGTTGCATTTATGATTAGAAAAGGTACGGAATTATTCGAGATTCCGCCGAAATTGGCTACAGATATAAGAGCATACTGGGTGGAGCAAGAAAGAAAATTGTTGAGTCCTAAGAAGACTGATGTAAGTTTCAAATTTAAAGTAATACTTTACCCTGTCACCTTGCAATATGATGAAAAATTTACAATTGCAGTTGAACGAGTCAGTACAAGACACAACTGGTACAGCACACACTGTATTCAGTTTTGTCGATCGTAAATTAACAGCAAAAGCAAATTCTATACAAGATACCCAAGCAGCATTGGCTCAGCTCTATGCTCATATACAAGCTATGCCGGAATCGGCCAAGAAACGGCGACTTGTAAAACAGTTTAATAAGGAGAATGGGCAAGGTACACCTAGGCATGTAAAAAACTGCAAAACCAAGAGTCTCGGTGATTCCATCAAGAAACATATTTTTCAAAAGAAAATCTTAGGACACAAGAAATGCATTGACAATAATATCGGATGCAATATCACTAGATCGAGCAGCGAAGAGAATATATTATCGACGGTGAGTTTTCTTATAATCTCTATCTTTCTAAGAAATTCTTTTTGTGCATATTGTTTATTATGTGTCTGTTTAACAATAGCATGTTTATCCCACTTTTGTCTAATATTTGCATGTACTGTACAGAAACTAGAAGACTCATTGTTTCCGGCAAGGATGCTTCTTAGCAAATCAAACGATGAATTCAGCACAGAAAACTGTGATAAAATTAATAATGATCTTCTACATGCCAAACACATGAGTAGTAGTATAGATAGCTTTAAGAATGAGACTTTAACAAGTTGTAAAATAAAAAAGAAGCTCTGTAATCAATCTACAAACACAAGAGAGGAAGTGGATGAAAAAAATATGCAACACGATGCAAAACAGAGCTTAAGTTTGATAGAACTCAGCTGGAGTACAAGTTTACAGGAGATTAATGTAATAACTAGTGACAATAATCCATCCGATACTGATAAATTGACGCGACAACTCGATTACCAAATAGAACCACCAGATGTGTGTTCTACTCAAGATGTAAATCACTGTGATAATTTGTTAACGAATGACGATGAATTAGTGCCACACAACTCGGAATCTATACCTACGTTCACTGTAACACCAAACGTAGAAACTTCCCCTAAAAAATCTTTTACATCAAGCATAAAATTATCCGAAACTACTCTGAACGTTGAGCCGCGTAACGAAAACGCATGCAATTTACAGTCCCCGATTGTAAAAAACAGATTCAGAAATGTGTATGCTGTTCATACGTCAACGCCGTCGAGTTTATTACGAAGCATGGTTACTAACGATTATATCTTGACTCCTATAACTAACAACGATAAAAGCATGAGTCCAATTACGCAAAGTGCAACGAAAATGACAAAAGCTATGCAGGTATGTAAATATTTGAAAAAAACAATATATGTTAATAATATATAATATAATAATTAAAAATATATATTTTTGAAATTATAAATATAAAAAGTTGAAATTATATAATATAATAATTTTACATTTTTCAATAAGAGATTACTAATTCTCCAATTTGTATAACAGGAAACTATGATGACTCCGCGCTCCAGAAAGCCAGTAATGATAGTTTCAACTTCGAATCTTTGCAATCTCGTCACTGGCAATAACAGCTGCGATTCATGCGGACCGAATCTAGACATGGTTGATACAATAAATTGCGCTTCTATTTTGGAAGAATCCCAGACATACAATAGCATGGACAATATTTTGCCTCATGTGAAGGATGTCGAAAATAAAGAAAATAATGAAGTAGACACTCTCAAGAAGCATAATTGTGTCCAATCTATTACGAATTGTTGCGCTTGTACACAACAAAGTTCGATGTCTATAACGAGTACGTTTAGAGAATACTTGTTGTCGAGAAGCGTCTTAACTGCCAGTCCCGTCGATCTCAGTTTTACGTCGCGGACGGGAGATTTTGAGCAATCTGAATCTGACTTAAATCTCTTAAACGACGATACACTGTCCGACAGCTTACTGTGCTGTTTGGACGGTAATCAGCCAGAATCTGATACTTCCGGCATAGCATCTGGTAGTACAAATAATTCCACTGAAAAAATGGAGGAATCTTCTTCTCCGAGAAAACGAGGGACTAGCTTGCAACGAAACGATTCTAAAAGATCCGCGAGGAAAGATGCGGTCAAAAACACAAGTGAAGAATTAAAAAATAGGCCGCGGAATGAATCGGACGAAATAAATTCTGTAAAAATCCAGGATAGCTTTCAAGAGACATCATTTTAATTTATTACGAGACTCGTTAGTTATTAATATTAATATATCGTTGAGTATTATAAATATACATTTCCATATTTTGTATACTTTGAGAAAAAGAAAGGAAATTGCCACATTATAATTTAAGTTTATTAATACGACCTTTATATATAGTTTTGTTTCAAATATGAATTAAGTGTTTGACAGTAAATGGATGGATTATTTATTCTATTTATGTCAAATTAAATTATTATTATATGTATATAATGCAAGACATTAAAAAAAAATTATATATTTTTATTTCATAATGCTGGAGAGAAACATATTTAAAAAAATTTCATTTCCTTTACTATCTTCATAAAAAAAAATATAAATATCATGTACAACTATTGTGAGATGCAATTAAAATTATTTCTCCAATTTATTTTGTAACCTTAAATGGTTTAATATGTAACTGTGTACATTTGGATATTAAATATAATTTTTTGTAACAAAATTAATCTTTTGCATCTCTCTCTTATTTAAGATGTGCAAGATTTATAAATACATGAAAATTCTACATGCATTTTACACAACGCATGCAGAATGTGTCAATTTTATTTATAAATAAAATTAGATTATATGATGACTTATGATATTTATTTTATATAATCATAGTTGGAACTACAAATATTTTCAAAATTAATGTATGATTATACTATATATAAGGTCGTGCAACATATTTAGTTAGATTTTATCATTTTTTATTTTTATAAATATAGAGAAGATAATTGATAAATTTTTCAGATATTTTGCAATTACAATATTTTGAAGAAAAGTAACACATTATATTGAAATCTCATGTAGTAGTTACATTTAGTTAACATAAAATAATTAGAGCTGATACAAAAAAGAAATAGCTACACTTTTGTATGTCAATACATGTCATCGTGACTTAAATCAGGTATATATGAAAAACCTCGCTCTTTCAAAGCTTTATTCATTCGTTTTTTCTGTTCTTGCTTTGATTCTTGTTCACGCCTTTGAGCATCCAAAATTTCATCCACCGTCACTTTTTTTAAGGGTAGGACTTTTTCCTTTTCTATATCCTGTAATATAAAAATATTTATTTAAGTATCGTGTAGAATTATAAGTATCAGCAAAATTATAACAAATATTTTCTATTCGTAAAACGCTTACTATTTCCCCTAAAAGTACAACATTCTCTCCTCTCACTATGAAAATACCTCTTGGAATATCACCATATTCTTGACCGACATGAATTCTTTCAATAGTACTTTGAAGTACTATATTAGCAAATTGATCGACACTTTTAAGATATCCAATTAATGTTCTGCCATCCCTCAACAAAACCATAAGCTTTTCTGGACAGGAAATAAATGTAATACGATTGAAAAGCGATAATTGTTTAACACAACATAAATAGACCCTTTACTAAAGAGTTCTGTGTATTAAAAAAAGCTTTATTTCATAATTTGAGCTTTATTTGAAAATTTAAGTAATATCTCTCAAATTATGTTATAAAATATATTTATAATTTAAAAAATAAGAATATAAATTCTTCAAGTTATAGATAATTTTATAATCTTTCTTGATCTTTTCTAATATATAGTTTTATTGCAGTTTGTAAAATTACTGTATTTTTGTGTGTATGATTTATTATTTAAAATAACTTGTATTTTGTGGTATAATATAAATTAATTTACGATATTGTACAGAAAAAGTACGAGTAATCGTACTTTTTCTTTTCGAGTATGAGACATCGAGAATGAGTGAAAAAAACGAATCATAATAAGAATATGCCAAGATAAAATCAAAAAAACAACACAGATATAAACACTAATCAAATATATACTTTCGAGTTCTTCGAGCAACGATGCCGTTCCTGGTGGCAATTCATTAGTTTCATTCATTTTGCTCGACAAATCAACAATGGAATTAAATCACCAGACACTTGTTATGAATTTATGTCCGACGTCAAAAAATAATTCTACTTTCTTAGTTCCAGAAAAAAATCTCTCGTCTAAACAACGCTGTTCTCGTGCCATGAGACTTGTGATCCAAGTAGAGAACTTTATTTCTCACAAATGTAGTAAGGGTACAAGTGTTGATAATGTAAATTCCTCTTTTTTAAGTCGGTATGCAAAACGTACTTATCGACGATTCGCGTTAATGATTACTTTTTGAATTCACAGATAGCGCTACCTTTAGTTTTGACGCGACGCAGATACAACTCGTCCGACATTGTGCGACGCGGTCCTGTGGGCTTTTAATTCGAATAAATCCAAGTTAAAAGGCCGAGGAAGCGGCCTTTTAACATTCCAGTGATAACACGACACCGCAGCTTCGGATGGACGAGACTCTCTCTTGGCTGTTTCTCGTCGAGAGGTATCTCGAGTTTGACTCACAATTTTTATGCCGTCATCTGAAGAAAAATATTTGAAATGGCGACGTTATGTGCGTAAGTCAATGTTATTTATTTCTATTTTATATATAATATGTTCCGACTAGGAGCAATTTTCGAGCTAAATCGATGTTTATGCAAAACGGAAAGATTGCAAGAAACAAATATTTTAAGAGATCAAAATATAACAATATATTTGCAACGAAGCAACCTTGCCATAAACGTGTAATAATAACAATTAATTCTCAGTTTTTAACGAATAAATTTAGGAAGCATGAAGGGTCAAGATAAGACAAAGTCTGTGTCGCTCTTTCTTTTTATGCACGTTTATATCTGACCGAATCGTAAAGCGACGATTATAAAGTCCGAGTCACATCTAAAATTCGATAACCATCGTAAATATAAATTTGATATAAAAAATATATAAATATCAAAACACAAATTAGAAGAAAATAAATATTCGAACGGAGCGAAACAATGAGATTCTCCAGGGTCCGACGCCTTTTCACGACGCACCTGGGTCATCTCGGCGTCGAGCGCCTACCAGAGGACTTTGCTTTATGTGGACACTTTACGCCCCCGATTGCGAGCGACACCGGAACGCTCTCAACTACACCCCCCCGCCGCCGATCAGAATCCCCTTTCGATCGCAAAACGACGAGCGAGCGAGAGAGAGGAAGGAGCGCGATTTAATTTAGAAGCCCGAGGAGCTGTGTGTGCCGGCGTGTTCCCTTCAGGCTTGCAAGTCTACCGCGAGTCGGCGGCGCGTTTTAATAATAATCGCGTGCTCTCGGCGACGGAGACGAGCTTTCTCATAAACCAGATCCGTCGTCTCGGCGCGGCAACAAATCTTATCGGAGCGAACGATGCGATATTTGCACCGAGCGCGCCTCGATTTAGCCTCGACCATTTCCATATCGGGGATTTTCACATCTTTTCCCATTTTCTCGATAACATTCCTGTATATAAAATTCTATATAAAATTAATATCTAAATTAATTCTATCTATATAAATTATATCATAATCTATTATATCATAAATATATTATATCATGATCTATTTTATCATAATAGTATATCTCTATTATATCATAATCTTATCATCCCTCCAATTGCAAATAAACATGTATAACATGAAGAAAGAAAAAGTATTAAATTAAAAAGCAGGATGACACAATCATGCACATGTAATATCTTCAAGCATGACAAATATATAATACGATATAAATAATATGATATATGTTTGTCGCGTTTAAAAATATTGGATAAATATCTTGTTAATTTAATATATTTTTTTTTCTTTGTGTCATATTTATTTATATCTGAACTCGGTTTTACGTATCGCAATTTAGCTTCAATCATTTCCATATCGGGAATTTTCGCAGAAAGTCCACCGATTATATCTTTTTCTATTTTCTCGATTAGCATTCCTTGTATACCTATATAAAATTATTATATTATAATCTTATCATCCCCTCCAATTGCAAATTAATATATATAACATAAGAAGAAAGAAAAAATATTAAATTAACAAGCAAGATGTATATGTAATATCTTCAAATATGATAAATATATAATACATTTATTACATCTTGTTACACATTAAGTAACAAATATAACATATGTTTGTCACGTTTAAAAATATTAAATACAAAAATATTAGTATCTCAGTATCTCGTCTTCCTAAATAATTGGATATATTTTCTCTTTCTTTATGTCACATTTATTTATATCTGAGCTCGACTTTACGTATTGCAATATGCGACACTCCTTACTCTATGCTCGCAAATTATAGCGGGTGCGGGCATCAAGGTAAATGTAGAGTATCGTAAAGAAGTTCCGATGGAACCTCGGCCCGCTGTTGGATACCGGGTGGATTTCGGCGTGGCTGTACGGCCGCATTTGAAATTCAAATAAAGCGGTAAGGTTTACGACACACGGGCTTAAAGCCGATGGTATTTGCGGGTGTAAGAATCACGGGGTTCTCAGTTTTCGAAAACAAGAGATTAATTCACGAATTCGATCGTTCAAGCATCTATCGCGCGTAACTTTTTCCGTTTTCGTGATATTTTTTATTATTGCTCCAATGTTTGATAAATTCGATTTATGATTTCGGTTTCTTTTTTCTTTCGTGACAAATCTCGTCAACGTTGGCGTTTCTGAATTCTCGCAATCAAAAGATATCTGTCCATGGAGAGATGCTGTCCGACTCGAAGAGTCCCCGCCGATAGTTGTTCCATTCCGTACGAAATCGACCGGGGTCACAAGTCACGATCAGTCGTGCCGAATAGGAGTCCAAAACGATTTAATGCTTTGGCAAATGACGGTCTTGGGAAATTGGCACTGCAAATACATACATATAGCGAAACGACAGGACGAGATTGTAGAACGGAGCACGAAAGGGTGGAGGGGAAGGTGCGCGTTAGTGGACGCAAGATGAGAGGAGGAAAGGGAGAGGGAGAGCGGGGGAATAGTTCCTCACGTCGCGATCGTTTTGTCCTTAAACGCTTCGTAAAAAAGAGCTGGACACGATTTACGCTTGATTACAGCCTCGGCGTAGGTCAAAAGTCGAAACGAAATGACTATCGATATCGATGAGAGCGACCGAGTGGAGATTATAGGTAACGACTAATAATGCGGCTCGATCTCTTTTCCCCACTCCTCGTTCTTCTCCCCCGCTGCCTTCACCACTTCCCTCCCGAAGCAAAAACGAGCCGCTCTAAAGAGCGCTCAAACGCTTGATCACCCTTTCCCCGCTTCGTCTCCGACGTCGACTCGACACTCGACCCGTTGTTAATCCAGAAAAAGATTTACTTTACTCTCGCGTCTCAAATACGCGAGATGCAAAAATGACTCGTGCAATTTGGGAATAAACCGGGCGCAAAATCGGCGAATTAAAACGCTCGATTCGTTTACTCGCGAACAATGATAGTCGTGATAATTGGACGTCGGGTTTACATTTTTTTGCGTACGTGTTGCGCCGACAATTGACGTTTCCGAAATTATACCGGTTTCAATTCCCGAAATAAACTTCGCGCTCATGCATAAATCGTTTCGCGGTTCGTGCTAATCGATCGATTCGACGAGATCGACTCG